TCGACGTTCTGATCATATAAGTATACATTTTAATGGGTCTATCTCTTTTTGTTCTGGTACTTACAAACATCGGACCAAAGTTATAATACCATTTCATGCTCATGAAAGGTATAAAAATCATGGCCGACGCATTGAGAGAACGGTTTTACCCAAGGCATAACAAGGTAGAAGTGNTCCGCGGCAAAATTATTCTTTCCACGGATAATTTACGGATAATTAACGGCAAATTATGCGATAGGAACTTTTGCTTTGAGAAAAGGTTGTCCTGCCAAGTTCAGAGAGGTTAAACTGGAGTTTTACAGTAAAATCCCATATCTGAACAATCAGATGTATGGAAGATATATGTTGTAGTCATCCGATCCTTGTTATTTTCACTGTAAGTATTCTGTTAATAATGAGTGAAAATGGTGCGAAATTTCATGTTCCTAGCTGCATAAATGGAGGAGTTATGATAAAAGACCTCATATCTGAACAATCAGTTGTATGGGGGCTGCAGGTTATAGTGACCCGATCTTTGTTATTTTCGCTGTAAGTCTTCTGTTGATAATGAGTGAAAACAGCGCGAAATTTCATGGTCCTAGCTACATAAATGGATGAATTATAACGAAAAATCTCATATCTGAACAATCAGTTGTATGGGAGCTATAGGTTATAGTGACCCGATCTTTGTAATTTTCACTGTAAGTATTCTGTTGATAATGGGTGCAAGTACTGCAAAATTTCATGTTCGTAGCTGCATAAATGGAGAAGTTATAACGAAAAATCTCATATCTGAACAATCAGTTGTATGGGAGCTATATGTTATAGTGGTCCGATTCTTCCGGTTCCGACAAATGATTAATACATTATAAAAATACACCCACCTACCAAATTTGATCCGGATATCTCGAAAACTGAGAGACTAGATTGCATACAAACAGACAGACAGACGGACAGACGGACATGGCTAAATCAACTCAGCTCGACGTTCTGATCATATAAGTATACATTTTAATGGGTCTATCTCTTTTTGTTCTGGTACTTACAAACATCGGACCAAAGTTATAATACCATTTCATGCTCATGAAAGGTATAAAAATCATGGCCGACGCATTGAGAGAACGGTTTTACCCAAGGCATAACAAGGTAGAAGTGATTTCGACATTTCTCTCTTTTGAACTGCGACTAAAATGTCAACTCTTAACCCTATACTATAGAGTTGCAAACCATCGATAGTGCCACCATCGATAGTTTCCATGTTTCAGAAAAAAACTATCATTACTCGTTGATAGTTTCCAGCAATACTATCGATAGTGTCAAACGCGACCATCGATAGTACTATCGATAGTCAATGTGATGTTAAAAACTGTTCCAAATTAACAGGGACGGCATCGAAAAACAAAAAAAAAAAGTATTGAAAATACAAACACACGTAGACCGTTTTCTTAAGTAACTTTTAACTTTAAAATTCACTTTATGTTTAAATATTGCTTTAACATGTATAGTTCTGTCGAAGTAACGCATTTTATTATCGAATTTTATTTATTTATTTAAATATCTATTACTGAAGCTTACAATTAAAAACAAAATTATGAGCCTAGTAAAGAAAGCTTCTCTTATGTGTTATAACACATGGCAACAAAAATGGGGAAAAATTTGTTGCGGCAAATGTAACAGCTGTTTTTGATTGACTTGTCAGTGCTGATTGTGAATCCATGAGCATACGG